GTATTTGCACCTGTTTTTAGTCTTTCTTGCACCTGACAGGTAAATAATTACCGTTGATACCTGTGGTTTTCAGATGTCCCCTCTCTGAATATTGTTGGGGGAGAGGGAGAAAGGAAAGGGAGAATTTTGTTCTTTTCTGCTTTTCCTGCAAAATCGTTTTAGATTTTGCAAAGTTCTGGGAGGAAATTGTGATATTATTCAAGAGGAGGTGAAACCAGATTCACATCTTGGAAAAGGTTCATTTTCTCTGGTCTGGATCTTGTGGCTGACGGATTTGTCTCAGTGCAAGTTGCCTTTATTTCTTCTGTCTCTGCCTATCATAGCAGGGGAAACTAAGTACTATGCTGCAGAGAGCTGAGGACCAAGTTTTATAGCTTTAATCAACTGTAATCTGTACCGTTCGTTTAGTCTGTATGCCTTATCTTTGCCCAAAGGCCACAGCTGAAGGCTAGTTAGTAGGAAAAACTGCTTTAATTATTTCCTGCTTTGAGTTGAGGAAGGCTCTTCTATTATATAGGAGATCTGAATGGGAAATAGAAGGATGATAGTGTGTGACACAGATTTAGCATAAAGTTAAAGCTCTGCCACAAACTACATATTCCATAATTCATCTGTGCCATTCATCTTCCTTTAACAATTTATTACATGGTAAGTGTGAATCATCTCCCCCTTCAACATCTGATTCAAATTCAAATAATCTACTTTAACAAGGAGATAGCAACCTGATGTGAATATCCATATCCAAGACATCCATAGCAGAACATAAATTGCACCTCTACTGTGCAGAAAATCTGAAAAGTATAAACATCCAATTTTTAGTTTACAGCGTATATTATATATTCCAACTGAAATCATTACAACTATGCAACATTTTTTCTGGTTTTCCCACAGATCTGTGTGTATGTATGTATGTATGTATGTATGTATGTATAAGTCAATCTAAAAGAAGACTATCTGAACAACAAAACCTTTTGCATCCCACAGCTTGGCTCCAAAGAAAACATTTACATGAGAGAAGAAAACACACTCATGATGTTTCTTACCAAAGGCAGGACAAGGCTGGCCTACAACCTGACCCTAATGAAGTAACAATCCTTTGCACACAGCTATTAGCCAGAAAATACAAGTTCTTATTGGCTAGTATCTTTTTTTGCAAGTTCTTAAACTTGCTACCATGTAAACAAATCTGTTCTCAAGATGTTGCGGGGGATGGGGCGCGGCTGTTGGATATGTTTGCATGTGTGAGGGTTGCAGGCTGAATTCACCATCTTGTCTTTTTTATCTTTATTGTCTTTTTTTACTTTGTCTTGTTTTTTTTGTGAACAGTCCAGGTGATGCCTAAATGGAATAATTTGAATTGAACTGATGTCCCAATATCTGAATAAATCTGAACATGGTAAGAACAGGCGCCTGATGGATCCAGTGCAGTTTCAGAGGAAGCTTGGTGTTTTTCCTGAAGCTCTGGTACACGATTCGGCCAATGCCCTCATTGCAGCTTGCAGTCAGCAGTTGACGGGGGCACTGGACTGAACTGCGCCTATGCAGACTCTGTGCACGTGGATCATATAGAGCACTATGGTTTACCAAGCAGCTCCAAGAGATGAAACGACACAAGAGACACCTTGAGCACCGCTTGAATTTTTTACGTGGATTTATACACTATATTTCATAAACTATCCTCTGTTATGTCTACAACACAAATAGAGCTTACAAAACTTAGATATACTGTATGTGATGACAATCAAAAAGTATTGTTTACAGATAAATTCAATATTCTTTTAAAATTGTTTTTTCAAAAGTCTTACCATGTTTCTAATCCTCATAGGACATGTTTCAATGAAGGACTGCTTCTAAATATGGGGGCAGAAAAAAAAATTAAACAGCTTTTCTGTGTTTACATATTGTTTACTGCATAAAAGTAATTAAAAACTTTAACCCAACTATTTGATTAAGATTCTAAAGAAGGACAATAGGGTTAGAAAATGCATGTAATTACAACAGTAGCTGGATTCACCTGCCATATTAAATCAAAATCAAATCATGTTACAGTTTAGTGGGAAGTGTTAACCCATCTGGTATAAGTAAACAACAGATCTGATTTTGATCCTTAGCATTTTGTTGATTATGAATTAGTATTAGTTATAGAAAGGCTTTGGAGCTTCGAGGATGGAATGGATCCCTCCTGTAATGGAATATTGGCTTGGTTTAGCATTATTCCAGTGCTAAGGCTTTTTTGTTCTTCTGATTATTGAATCATTTAAAAAAATGTTATTACTGAATGAGTACATACGCTTCCAGAGTCAGCTGGCATTGGAGCAGCCTAGTAAAATAAATAACAACAACAACAACAAAAACTCAAGGAAACATAGCAAAGCCCCTCCACTATCTTAGCTCCTGAAACACAGGTTCCTAATTATCTTCCAGTCATATAACCTCCAAGTCTGCAAGAGTGTCATTGCCACTGACTGAGGAACAGCAAATTTAAAAATATGAGACTCGGCCTAAGCTTCTTTAGCAATTAGTGGCTGGCTTTGAGAGGGACTTCCAGCTACTCATACTACAGAAGTTCAGTCCAAAATCAGTAGAATAGTGGAGGAAGATAGCCAGTCATGCACAGAGGAGGTGAAATTAAAATAGTCTGGGGGAATGAGCAACAAGACTTGGAAGCTACCCCAGCTAAGTAAGGAGTAGAAGAACCCTACAGCTTCACAAGCCTTTCAAAGACACAGACCAGGTCTTACAGATCTTTAATATTTACTATCTCTGTATCCTTTTAGATACAGATGGGTTGAATCACCTTCGCAGATATGAAGGAAACTTGTATACATGTAGAAACTTCAATATTATCAACACTATAAGGGAGTGAGTTCTGTATAACATGGACAGTAATGGGAAATTACTAAAAAAGTTTAAAAAAGAGTTTGCTTGGTTTTCCTTAATAATGATATGCATACATGTAAAATTTTCTCCAAGATAACATCATGGCTAACTTTAAAAAGGCAAACTGAGATTTCATTAGACATAAATAAACATACTGCTTATTCCAAGTGAATAGACTGATCCAGAATAATTTTCTAAATGCTTGTTGTATAATAGAGTTACTGCAGCCAATCAACCTTACCTACAGAAAGGAACTCTGGATCCATGAAAGACTGCTGAATTTACTAAAGCGATGTGGGAGTGTAATGCTGCATTCCAAGACTTAAGCAAACACTGGCAAGTTATGTTCTCCTGCAATATAAGTGCTGGGAAGTTGTAATTAGAACTGTGAGAAAGGCTAAAATAAATAGTTGGGGACAATTTTGTGGAAAATTTCTGTGGGTATGTAACTCAATTTACAAACAGATAAGGAATTTGAATGGAATTAGAACTCAGAGGAATAATATATTCAAATTGATACCAGAAGATTAGTATTTATGCTTCACTAATACAAGTAAAGCTGAACCTTGGCAGATGCTTTTAGGCATTAATAGTCCATAAAAATTGATCAGAAAGGCAATGGCAATTCCCATTTTCAAGCTCCTTTGCATGACAAATTGTTGGAAAAAGATGGTGTTTTGAATGTGGATTTCTCTATATGGGAAATGAAACTATGTGATGTTTGGGGGCTGGAAAAAACAGTCAGCCATGTCCTTTGGGACTGTTTGCTATTGGACCTTTGACTTATCACTTGATTCTGCTCTATGTGTGTTCCTTTGGACTTACTGCATAGCATCTTTGGACTGTAGCCTTGGCTTAGTTGTAATTTTGTGAACCTGACTTCCTTAATAGATTATGCTCGGTTGCCTGCATCACCCTGGGCAGAAAACAGTGTTTTAGGGAACCAACAAATAGGGTATGAAGGTCTTCACATGTTCTTTGTCTCTACCACTGCATATTCAAAAATACACTTTTTATAAATAGAGGGGCAATGTGAAATTCCCATTTTGAGCACTGTGAAAAAATGGGATTAGGATTAAATATGGCTAAAATCAAACTGATGACAACAAGTACTGCAACCCAGCTTTAGAACTGACAATGAAGATATTGAAGTGCTGATGAAGTTTCTGTCTTTTAGAATCAACTATCAACAGTAAAGGAACCAGTAGTAAAGAGGTATGCTGCAGACTACCTGTTAGTACAGTAGCAACGAAGGCTTGGAAAATATATTCAGGTGTCTTATTACCTACAGGGATCAGAATTGTGCAGGCAATGGTGTTCCCTGTGACGCTTTATGGAGGAGAAAGTTGGGTTTTGAAGAAGTAGGATAGAAAAAAAATCGACACTTTTGAACTTTGATGTGGGAGAAAATTTCTGAGAGGACCATGGCTAGCCAAGAAAATAAACAAATAGATCATAGTAGAAATTAATCCAGAGTTTGCATGCAAGGCACAAATGACCAGGCTCAAATGATTATATTTTGGATATATTATATGAAGACTTGCTCTTTTGAGAAATCTATAAGGAAGGTGGAAGGAAAGAGAAGAAGAGGATGACCAGCAGCAAGGACGACACAATTAAAGTGGGTGATGGTACACTACTGGAAGACCTGAAAGGCCAGGTTGGGGACAGATTGTCCTGGAAAAGGTCTATGTGGCTGCTAAGAGTCAACACTGACTTGATGGTACATAAGCAAATAAAAATCAAAGATTCAAATCAAATAAAAATCTTTATTTCAATCATTGACCAGCATAGCATTACACAATCAACCTAATATTTTTATTAGAACAGTCAAAACCAGAAACACTGGGCTGTAGTATGAGTTCAGTCAAATAACAGAATAAGAAAAAAATGTTTATTTCCACCAATACTATCAAGACTAAAATAACTACTGTTGTTAGTACTGATATTATAATTCCCTTTAAATCTATATTTATGCCTATAAACTGGTGGTTAGAGCAAAGATATATAAGCAGAGATTTAAATCTAAAATGTCCATATTTATGAAGCTGGAGGAGCAATCACTTTATTGGCAGCATAAAGAAATTTGGCAATCTCCAGAGGGATAGATTCTGACTAATAGATAAGAGATACTGTGTGTAAAATAAATCAGTATGGTTTGGATATTTTATCAAATAAGGGGAAATAAAATGGATTCTAATATCCCTATAAAACTAGCAATACAATAACACAATCGATTTACATCAGCTAGATCACATGGACATAATCAGAAGGCATTCAAAGATTTAGGAGCCTGAACTTTTGCACCAAATTGGAGGAAAATACAGTAATAATCTTGTGCTTTAAAACTTGGCTGAAAAAATATCATGAAGTCTATAGGAAATCTTTAATAAATACTGACATGTAATTAAAAACACTATATATGTATCAACTGTCATAAAAAAACATCAACTACAAGTGAATTTCTCCAAAGGCAACTACCATTTATAACCCTTCGTCTTGCAGCATAATTATATAGAACAGCTTTTTTCATCACACCTACCTGAATAATTTCATAAAGGTGCATAGTTACATTCCCAAACAGCCTTGGAAAGTCTTTTGGACCTTCAAAGCCCACCAACTCTAAAACAATCTTATTTCTAGGATCACTTTTCTGCTTTGGAACCTGAAAATCAAAATATGGAGCAAACATGTTTACTATGAAAAAAAAATACATCAATATTGCCAACTTGCAGCAGTTAAAAGCAACAGATATCAGTTAATTAATTTGATTGACAACCGTCTGTTCTTGGAACTCTCATTGGGCTTCTGCTTAAAAATTATCTATGGTCCAATCCTCTCTTTTCTCTAGTTACAGGTAGTTGGTTTTGGATTAGGAAAGCAACATAGTTCAGTGGAACTGCAGGGAAGTTCCCTTTTCCCTAATCCACTCTCCCTGAAAAGGGGAAGAAGTAAGGGTGTGCAGCATTTGGGAATATGCAGCACTTGGAGAATTTCCGTTGCCCACAATTCTAGTAAAGTCCTGTGATTTATCTGCACAATAGGGAGAATAAGTGTGGAGAATTATTGTTGTCTGTTGCTCAAGTAGCCAGTTTAACTTTCTCCAGGCTGGAGCTAAAGAGCTAGGTAGGGCTGAGCTTCTGAAATCCACAGCTGTAAGTATGTCTTTAAAGCTGAAGAATGAATGGAAATCTGCAAATCATGATTCTTGCAAAGGCCAGTGGGGCTCTAAGCCTAAAGGAAAGAATGGCTCAGTTGTGGAAGACTTAAATAGTAATAAGTACCCACAGTCAAAATGGCAATACCACTGCAATGTTATATGCCCGTCATATATTTTTCTATCACACTATAGCCCTGTTAAAATATTGCTTTTTTACTATTAGCTAAAGGCAGAATTTATTAAAACTTATTTCATATAAGCATTTAATAGAGCACTATACTATCCACCAAGATTCTCCTGTATTTATTTATTCATTCATTCATTCATTCATTCATTCATTCATTCATTCATTCATTCATTC